ATGGGAGATCTCATCTCGGAATCCCAGAGTGTTTTTATTCCTGGGAGATTAATTGCGGATAACATCTTGGTAGCAGCGGAGGTGGGACACTACTTAAACAGGAGACAGTGTGGTGTTGTGGGGTGGAGTGCGCTAAAGTTAGACATGTCAAAGGCTTATGATAGAATGGAATGGACGTTTCTGGAAAGAATGTTGATTGTTATGGGGTTTAGTGAGAAGTGGATCCAGCTTATTATGCTATGTGTGACGACTGTTAATTATACTGTGATGGTGAATGGTGTAGTATGGGGGCATGTAAGACCGACCCGTGGCCTCAGACAGGGGGATCCTCTTTCCACTTATTTATTCATTATCTGTGCTGAGGCACTTTCAATGTTGTTGCAAAGGGAATAGGTAGCAGGATCAATACATGGGTATAGAGTTGCGAGGGGAGCACCTCCAGTATCACATCTGTTTTTTTGCAGATGACAGCCTGTTTTTTTTCAAAGAAAATATCCAGGAAGCTGATGTCATCAAGCAATGCTTGGTAAGGTACGAGAAGTTATCCGGGCAGGTGGTGAATTATATCATGTCCAATATATGTTTTAGCCGAAATACTCATGAGGAGGACAGAATGCAAGTAGCAAGTTGCCTTGAGGTCGAACAGGCGGCCAACTTTGGGAAATATCTTGGCCTACTATCTTTTGTGGGCAGGAATAAGAGAGATGTTTTTTCTTATGTGGAGGAAAAAATCAGGCAAAGGATTGGATCGTGGAGTAAAAAGTTGTTATCTCAGGCTGGTAAGGAAGTGTTGTTGAAAAGTGTAGCTCAATCTATGCCTACGTTTTCAATGAGCGTTTTTTTATTACCTGAAACAGTTTGTCAGTCAATTGAGCGAACCATGAATAAATTCTGGTGGGAAGTGGCAGAGAAAGGGAATACATTGGAAGGCTTGGGATAAATTGTGTGTCCCTAAGAAATTTGGTGGTTTGGGTTTTAAAGAGTTAAGAGCATTTAACCTGGCCATGTTCGGAAAGCAGGCATGACGTTTTCTTACTAACCCAGGATCACTTGCAGTAAGAATATATAAGGCTCGTTATTACTAGAGATGACCACGGTTCCGTCCGTCCGTACGGTTCCGGTTCCGGTTCTTAACCGGAATCTATAAGGTTCTGGTTAAGGTTTGTAAAATCTTGGAACCGGAACCAGCGGTTCCGGTTCCAAACCGAAAAAAAATTAATATTATAGTGTTTTTTTAATTTTTTTTTAAAAAAATTCCGGTTAGAACCGGAACCTTATTATAAGGTTCCGGTTCCGGTTTCGCCATCCATGGAACCGGAACCGGCGGTTCCGAACCGGAATCGGAACCGTGGTCACCCCTAGTTATTACCCCATAACTAGTTTTGTTGATGGTACTATTGGGAATTGCCCAAGTTTCTGTTGGAGGAATATAATGGCGGCACACGCAATAGTGACAGCTGGGGTGCGACGTAGAATTGGAAATGGACAGACAACTCTAATATGGGGTCACCCTTGGCTGCCGGATAATCCTAGCCCCTTAATACAAACGGATATGCCAGAAGAATTAAGAGAGGCACGAGTAGCAGGTTAATGATCCACAAACAAACACATGGGATCCACATATTCTATCTGATCTTTTTATCCCCAGGATGTGAACCGGATAGTTATGATCCCTGTTAGCCCTGACTACGATGACTCATGGTATTGGATGGGAGACACAAAAGGGACATATACAGTAAAAAACGCTTATAGGCGTATTGTTGGAGATTTTGAGAATAACCCAGGTGCATTTGATAAATGGGTTTCGATGTGGAAATTAAAGGTCCCAACCAAGTGGAAGACGTTTTTATGGAGAGCCATATGTGATATTCTACCCACTACCATTAATCTGATTATAAAGAGGGTGGAAGTGGATCCAGTATGCCCAATGTGTGCTTTAGATCATGAATATGTGTTGCATGCTTTAGTGTTCTGTGAATATTCTACACTTGTTTGGAATATAACACAATTGCCTATCACAAATATTGTTACATATTCCTTTTCAACATGGCTAATGGGGCTTTGGCGTTCTTAACGGAAGAGCAAAGCCGACTCTTGGTGGCCGTCCTATACTATATTTGGAGAAGCCGCAACGCAGTCGTGTGGAAGGGGGCCATGATGCGGCCGGTCGACGTTGCGAGAGGAGCGACTGCGTCCATGCAGGCTTACGGCAGTGCACATCACCGCCAACCACTGCCGGAGCCGATGCCACCGACTGGAACGGAGTTGCATGGCAACCTAAGGTGCTATGTGGACGCGGGTTTTCGACAAGGCACCGGGGAGGCCACGTATGGTATTGTTTTAATATCACCCGAGGGATCCTTCATAGCGGCAAAAAATGGCAAATCGCCATTTTGTTTCTCACCACTAATAGCGGAGGCACTGGCTAATAGAAAGGAATATCACATCAGTATGCCTTCTCATGGATTGCATGGTTTTACGGAGTACTATGCAGCACCAAAACACACCGATCCACTCGTATGTTGCGGTCATGGTTGACTAATGTAGAACAATTATGTCTTTATTTAGTCATGTTTCATTAAATTATGTCCCTAGACAGGTTAATTTACATGCTCATACTTTAGCTTCATTAACTTTTATTCAAGATCATTCTATGTATTGGGATTCTATCCCTCTTGACTCTATTACAACTTTGATTCATTAATACAATCTGCCGATTGGTTTTCAAAAAAAATGAAGAAAAAAATAATTTTATTGAATCTAGATAGGTTTATAAAGTTTAAATAGGGAGAAAAATAGAGTTTAAATAGAGAAAAAACATTCAAAGTTGTTAGAAAGAAAATTTTGAAATCTTGGGGTTGATGGCTGGACTTCAACTATTTATATTTGAAAAGGAAAAGTCTACAAAAGTCTTAAAATTAAAAAGTCGACAAAAGTTCATAACTTTTTGAATACCACATAACTTTTAAAGACTCTTTAAAAGTCTTAACTTTTTGAATACCACATGACTTTTAAAGACTCTTTAAAAGTCTTAATTGAATACCACACGACTTTTAAAGACTCTTTACAGTGTTTGGTTGGATGTAATTTAGTTGTAATTGAATTGCAATTCAATGAAGGCTTCAATTACAGTGTTTGGTTGGAGGGAATTGCAATTCCATTGAATTGCAATTCCCTCATTTTGTTGAATTGCAATTCATGGGGTAACCACATGAATTGCAATTCAATGGTTTTGAGAAAGGAGAAAGTGTAAGAAATGACAAAAATACCCTGGTTGATTGTTATTATTAGGAATAAGGGTCAAATAGGCCATCGAACTGCCCAGAATAATGAAATTAAGCCACTGAACCTACAAAAACAACAATTGGGTCCCTAAACTAACCATTTTCATACAATTAAGCCAATTTACAGGTTTTGCAAGTTAGTAACAAGTCACCCAAATTTTAAAACATATTTTTTTAATTATAATTTAAAAATAATAATTTAAAATTAAAAATTATATATATATATATATATATATATATATATAAAGTTTAACCGAGTTTCTTCGTCTCCTTGGCCAGAGACGAAGAAACTCTTCGTCTCCTTGGCCGGAGACGAAGAAACTCTTCGTCCCCGACCAGAGACGAAGAGAATCTTTGTCTCCATGGCCGGAGACGAAGAGACTCTCCATCTCCGGCCATGGAGGCGAAGAGTTTCTTCGTCTCCGGCCATGGAGACGAAGAAGGCGAAGAAACTTTCTTCGTCTCCGGCAGAGCGAAGGAACGTGTTTTTTTTTTTTTTTGTTTTTTTATTTTATTTATTTTTATTTATTTATTTTAAATTTATTATTTTAAAATAATAATTTTTTAAAAAATATTTTAAATTTTTTGGGTGACTTGTTACTAACCTACAAAACCTGTAAATTAGACTAATTGAATGAAATTTGTTAGTTTAGTGGCTTAATTGTTGTTTTTTAAGGTTCAATGGCCTAATTGCATTATTGTGTGCAGTTCAATGGCCTATTTGACCCTTATTCCTTATTATTATTATTATTACACAAGGACATTTTAGTCTTTATACCACTTTTTCCTTCTCATCCCCAATAGTTCTATTATTTCCTACCAAACAATGTAATTTGAATTCCTACATTATTCCTACCTTATTCTTTTCCCACCGAATTACAATTCTTTTCCTACCTAATTCCTTCTTCCCAACCAAATACCCTGTCAAAGTTGTTAGAAAGAAAATTTTGAAATTTCGGGGTTGATGGCTGGATTTCAAACTATTTATATTTGAGAAGGAAAAGTGTACAAAAGTCTTAAAATTAAAAAGTCTACAAAAGTTCATAACTTTTTGAATACCACATGACTTTTAAAGACTCTTTAAAAGTCTTAATCAAATACCACACGACTTTTAAAGACTCTTTAAAAATCTTGATTGAATACCACCGGACTTTTAAAGACTCTCTAAAAGTTTGAATTGAATACCTCCAAACTTTTAAAATTTATAAAAGTCTTTAAAACTCTATGAAAGTCATAATTGAATACACCCACGTAAAATTGAAGGAGGCATACTCCTAGCACTTAAAAATTTCCTTGCACTTATGGTGGTTGTAATTTTGAAAATTCATTTTGCATTCATCAGACTTATATGAACATGAAATAAATAAATAAAAATTAAGTGCACAATGATTCATTAGTGGTTAGATTCACAACTTTTCATTTGACAAGGAAATTAACTAACACAACAAAACAATAATATAACAAGTAAATTCATTTTTTTTTAAAGTAATAAAAGATGACATTTATCCTTCAAATTATCAAAACAACTTACATAATCATAAATGTACATATATATTCTAATTCATTCAGAAATAAGAATAATATACTTTCTCATAATTAATGATATACTCTCTCTTTGGTAACATACATGGAAGCTTAACTCTCTCTTCTAATTCATTCCAAAAATTATGCTTTCTCTTTGGTAAAATTCATTGAAGATTAACTACTTCTTCTAATTCATTCCAAAAAATCTACTTGATCTTCGATAACATGTAGAAAGCATCTCCAATGTATAGCATCATGTGCATAATCATTAAGTCCATGTATCTTAAACTTTCTCCAAACCTCTCTTTCAAATGAATAAATTAAAACCAAAGGAGACATCATCCTCTCACTTTGAATCAATAACAGAATCTCCCCAATACTATTCGCAGTAAAACTCATGGATGTAGCTTCTCTAATCATCTTCCTCTCCTCCAATGGAAGAAGGATTGTCTGTTTCTCCCACTCCATTGACCTCTCCCACCTCCATATATCTACCCTTTTGGGCCAGGTAGTGTCTCGCCAGGTTCTGGTTCTGAGCATTTGGGAGGCATTTTGTTGGCCAAGAATGATAATGAAAGCTAGACGACCACTTAACTTCATCCATGTCAGCTCACCCTGACCAAGCTGCTGCAGGAAGTAATACTCAAAAGGGAATGGTATAGATGTGATAAAACTCTCCGTTGCAATATCTATTGCAACTATCTTTGGTTCAATACTCGACCTCATCGCCAATACTTCAGGAATCAAATAGATAATCCCATGAATGCAAACGGCATCGCGGGTGTATCCAGTGATGGTGCACTCTATCTGTCTCCATGACTTATCCACTCCCACAGTTAAAACCCACAGCAGCTTCAACCCCTCCGAGGAAACATCATGATCATCTTCATAGTACACCACCGACTTGAAAACCTTGTACCTTTCCGAAACCGAGTCAAACCCCAAGGACGAACAAGAGTAGGCAAGGGAGCTGAAAGACTGCTGCGTACGGCCGGCCGGATAAGCAATGCTCGGCAGACAAATACATCGTCCGGTACTAAGGTCGACGGCTTCGTCTCCTTCGTCTCCAAATAGCGATTCGTGGCAGAGACACATCTTGCCATCGGCGGAAGATACTAAATCTGCTTCTACATCCAAACGCTGGGCAGTGTCGGCTTGGAGGTTCCCATGGCTTTGTTCACGGTAATTCACGGAGTATAAATTTAAATCGCGGTGTGTTCTGGATGGGAGAGCGACGAGGGTTCTGAACGCGAATCTTGGCTCCGGTATGAAGGAATAAAAGAATTTGGAGGTGCATCTGAATCGCACTGTGGATTTGGCCGGAAGACCAGTGAGAATTTTGAGAAGAATCTCTCGTGGAAGAGAGGTTATGGAAATAGAAGGAGAAGTTGAAGGGTTACTCATCTGTCTTTTGAAATTTGATCTTCTGCAAATTTGGGAGAAGAATGGAGATTATTTCAGATTTTGGCTCGACGATTTTGATGTTATATAGACTTATTAGGTGTGATACAGATATATCAAGTAAAACACACCGCCGTTGTCTCAATCCTATTAGGATTCTATTTCTTAGGCTTCTAATCCTCTACTTCTGTTTTTTGCAGTTAATTCCAGCAATAGTCCTCCGACTATTGCAATTTTCCAAAATTGATCTTTGACTTTTAATTTGGACGAAAAAGATACTTGACTTTCAAATTTGTTGCAATATTAGTCCTTTCGTTATCCATCCGTCAATGAGGCGTTAGTGTAGGGGGTATTAGGGTCTTTTCCTTAACTTTCTTCTTCCCCATGTTATCCAGAGTTTCAAGGGCTACGGAGGAGGCGGAGTTCAACGACGGCAGAGAGTGGAGTTTATGGCTTTGAGGATATGAACGAGATCGAGGGCAGAGGCGAATTTCGACGGCAGCGAAGAGTGGAGTCTATGGCTCTAATGATAAGAACGAGATCGAGGGCGGAGGCGAAGTTTGACGGCGGCGGAGAGTGGAGTCTATGGCTCCGAGGATAAGAACGAGATCGGGGGCATAGGCGGAGTTCGACGGGCAGCGGAGAGTGGAGTCTATGGCTTTGAGGATAAGAACGAGATCGAGGGCAGCGGCGGGGGATTGCAATCTGAGGCTGAACTGAGTAAATTCAGAAGCGAGCCCAGCAATGGAAATCGAAGGGAAGTGAGGAATGACCACAAAGTTGCAAATGTCGGTGTGGGCAGAGGAGTTGATAATACCGTAGCGTTTGAATTTGCATATAGGCCGTCCTCGCCGGTTCACCGTCGAAACAAGGAGAGTTCCCTCAGCTCTAACGCCATGGTAATGAATTTGACATTCTAACAGGAGGAATGGGCAAGGGATGACTTTGTTGTTTCCCATCATCAGGCCAGCAAGTCTGGAGCTACTTCCAGGACTTCTCATTCTAGGACTATGGGCTGGAGAATACTCAGGGCTTCCTCTACTAAGAGATGAAGATTTGACACATCTACTGGTGGAATGATTAACCAATCATGTTGCCTCTCTTCTGCTTATTTGTCCAACAGGATACTGGTCCTTAGGAATCACACTAGATGGGCTACGCAACGCATTTTTGCCTCCAATTTCATAATCAGATGCCAGAGGACTACGTTGACGTGAGTCAGTCAGATCATCACTCTCTATAGGGCATTCACTTGAAATTGATGCTACTACCAATTCTCCATCAACATCTGTGGGATCCATACTGACGGATATGGGGAAGAAGAAAGCAAGTTAAGGAAAAGACCATAATACCCCCTACACTAACGCCTCACTGACGGATGGATAACAGAAGGACTAATGTTGGAACAAATTTGAAAGTCAAGTGTCTTTTTCGTCCAAATTAAAAGTCGATGACCAATTTTGGAAAATCGCAATAATCGGAGGACCATTGCTGGAATTAACTCTGCTTTTTGCATCGCTGGCGGGAGGAAAATTAAGAGTGTATTCAATCATGAGGCTTTTATTAACTTTAAAAGTTTGGAGGTATTCCATTCAAACTTTTAGGGAGTCTTTAAAAGTCAGGCGGTATTCAATCAAGATTTTAAAAGAGTCATTAAAAGTTCGGTGGTATTCGACTAAGACTTTTAAAGAGTCTTTAAAAGTCATGCGGTATTCAAAAAGTTATAAACTTTTGTAAACTTTTTAATTTTAAGACTTGTGTAGACTTTTCCTTCTCAAATATAAATAGTTGAAATCCAGCCATCAACCCCAAGATTTCAAAATTTTCTTTCAACCAACTCTGAATGTTTTCTCTCTTTATTTAAATTCTATTTTTATCTCTATTTAAACTTTATAAACCTTATGCCTAAATTTAATAAATTATTTTTTCTTCATTATCCTATATTTTCTTCATACCTAACCTCTACTATTTTTGTTATTAGGACTATGCTATCCATATTAGACTAAGACTATGTTATCCATATTAGACCAGGACTATATGATTCGTGTTAGACTAGAATTCTATCTAGTATCTATATATTCGCTCTCTGTACTTTAGACATTATGACGGAATACAACACAATTATATTCTCATCTGGTATCAGTTAGCCAGGATTCATGATAATTATTATTATCGATCCAATTTAAAGGACAAGGTCTCGAATTTCCAGACAATATCAAAGCAAATTATGCATAATTTCGAAGACCAGAGTGCCTTGTGTTTGTTGTTTAATTATGCATAATTTCCAAGCAACGTATGCAAACATCCAAGAGTCAGATTAAGCAAGCAGTGACTCTTTCGACAACCTCCAACGCTGAAATCATACAACAAGGCAATGGCAGTTGGAATCGTGGCAGTCCGCATCGAGGTCAGCAGCATGGTAGACGTGGTTTTAATAAACCGTGTTATATTTGTAATGGTTTCGGTCACGCGGGAGCTAATTATATTGTTTATGGCGCTATGATGAACCGTGTCAAATTTGTAAAGGTTTCGATCACACGGGAGCCAATTGTTTTTGGCGCTATGATGATCCGTGTCTAATTTGTAAATGTTTCGGTCACACGGGAGCCAATTGTTTACGGCGATATTCACGGGCTCCGGGTTCTCAGCGTTTTTCACCCTCCCCGGCTCCTCGGGCGAATGTAGCCGTTTCTGGTGATGACTCGAGTGGTCCACATGAGTGGTTTCCTGATACTGGTGCTACCAACTATGCTATGCCCGATCCTTCTTTGTTGACCTCTGGGACGGGTTATGATGGCCCTGAGACTCTTCGTGTTGGCAGTGGTACAGGTTTGCATATTGTTAATGTTGGTTCAGCTTCGTTAGCCACTAATTCTAGGTCTTTTAAGTTAAATGATGTTTTGCATGTTTCTGATCTTTCTAGTTCATTATTATCTGTCCAGCGTTTTGCCAAAGATAATAATGTTTTTTTTTGAGTTTCACCCACTTTGTTTCTTTGTGAAAGACATTTTGACCAAGAAAGTCCTATTTAAAGGGCATGCATCTGATGGCCTGTACTCCTGGCCTGCATCCTCTCCTGCTCCAGTTGCATTCGTTGCTGCGCGTTCCTCTTTTGTCTGGCATATGCGGTTGGGGCATCCGCACTCTCGAGTCTTACGCAAAATTTTAGAGTCTTCGTCTGTAAGTACTTTTAATTCGATAGATCTTCCCAATGTTTGTTCCTCTTGTCAATTGGGAAAATCATCTCGTTTTCCATTATCTCGTGTTGAAACTACTAGTACACATCCTTTAGAATTAATATATTCTGATATTTGGGGCCCTACGACGTTACTTTTTGCAAATGGCTTTAAATATTTTGTGTTGTTTGTGGATGATTACACACGGTATATATGGTATTATCCGATGCGTGCCAAATATGAATTATATGACATATTTGATAAGTTTCGGTCACTTGTTGAACGTTGTTTTTCTCACAAGATTATTTCTTTTCAATCTGATTTAGGGGGGGGGGGGGGGGGGAATATAAGAAGCTTGGTTCCACACTTTCTTCTCTAGGGTATTCGTCACAGGCAATCTTGTGCCTATACTCATGAACAAAATGGACGAGTGGAGCGCATGCATCGTCATGTTGTTGAGACAGGACTATCCTTATGGCTCAAGCATCTGTTCCTTCTCGTTTCTGGGACTATGCTTTTGAGATTGCTGTCTATCTTATAAATAAAATGTCCACTCGTGTTTTGTTTGATGAGTCACCACACTTTCGTTTGCATCGTTCTCCCCCATCCTACGAATAATGAACTACTGTTCGCAAAAACAATTTGGAATTGCAAACAATAATATCTCTTCGCAACAACTAAGTATAATTTTTTTATATATATATTATTAATATTATTTTTTATTTTTTATTTTATGCAACTAGTAATTATATTTTTAAATATTTTATTTCAATAATTCTGTTATTATAAATTTAGTGTTCAATATTATTATGAATTTCTTATGAAATAATTTTTTTTTGATGATTATTAATAATACTAGCATTTTGTACGCGCGATGCACGAAAATTCATGTCCAATATTAAAACATTAATAAATACATATAATTAAAAATTATAATTTGAATTATATATCCACAAATAATATATGTATTTTGCACACACATATATAATTTACATTCATAGAAATTTAATTAAAATATAATGAAACATTAAATTAAAATATAATTAAGCATTAAATTAATATATAATGATTTTAATAAAATGATAATTAAAAATAGGAAAAAGATATGATAGATATAGGTGTATGGTAATAATGATGTGTTATCAATGTTAGAATTAAAAACTAACAGTGTTATATATAATGGTGTAAGGGTAGTTTTGTCTAATAACATTATATTGAAATGTACAACGCATTTAAAGTAAAATGTACACATTTATATGCATACAAAAAGAGGAACATAAATCAAGGATATAACCTTAATTGAGGTTTATTATGTTTTTAAATTTAAGTAATTAGCACATAATAAATCTCACCATACTATAGATAAAAAGAGAAAATTTCTATGAGAGATAGGAGGCCTAGATAATTTCCTGTAGTTACCCCTTCTTGCACGCCTAAAACACTTGCAACATCAGCCTTGACTTGATGGTGCACATTGGAACTAAAAGACACAGCAGATTTGTCATCATAATTTATTTTTTGTCCCGAGGCTGCTGAATAAGTATCAAGTACCGACCTCATTGTCCCACTTTCCTACATATTATCCCGAAGAAACAAAAAACAGTCATCCACAAAGAGTAGATGACAAATAGGAGGTGCTCCTCGGGAAACACACCCTATGCAAACTGCCCCTACGCATATGCTAGTCAACCAGCCTACTTAATCCCTCAGCCGCGATCAAGAATAGGTACAGTGATAACGGGTCGCCTTGACGAAGACCCTGCTCAGGGATAATAGGACCAATTTACCGTTGCTTGTGTAGAATATGATAACGGACGGATATGACAATCTCCATAAGAATGTCCACCCACTGGCTTTTGAACCCCATCTTCAACAACACAGACCTCGATAAATCGCCATTCGACACGATCATAAATTTATTTTCATAAAAGATATTTTATTTTAGTATAAATTTATTACCATTTTATTTATAAATTTAATTAATGTTACTAAAGAGGAGTTTAAATATAAAATCTCTATATACTATTAGTAATATTGATGGAATAATTACAAATAGGTTCAGAGCGGAATAATACGAAGCGAATCAGACCTGGGGCACCAGACCCGACTTGACTACTCTGGCCTAGTAAACCACGGGGCCGAGCAGACCATGGCATGGTCTACCACCCGAGCAACAGTTGGGATCGGGTGGTCCCCAATTGGGACTGGATGGTCTCCAAAGCATCACCCATGGCAGCAACCCGAGCAACACTCTGCACAAAGTCAGAAAGTAAGATATATATATGGTCACGAATGATATCTACAAAGTCATAAACAAGTACATACCTTGAGTAAAGGGCGATAGACGGCATGGCCCTCGTACATCTCCGCATCACGAGGTAGGAGGAAGCTCTGTATGATGAGGGGAGGAGGAGGAGGTAGGGATGGCAACGGGGCGGGTAAGGATGATCTTGCTTTCTAAGGTAGATAGTCTAAGGTTCAAACCTTATCTTGAACATCCACTTCGTTTCTTTTGTTCCGTAATAATATTATGGAGTATAATTGTGTGCAACAAAGCTTACAAATTAAAAAAAAAAAAAAAAAAAAAAAAAAAAAAAAGGCAAACCCGTATAGAACCGGCAGCCAATTCATGAATCGAAACCTTAATATAAAGTTTTGGTTTGCAATTTGGTGGAACCGTGAGTTTGGAACCGGAATCAAACAATAGTCACCTCTAGCCAGGAGGGGTATCCCCGTCCCCGACGGGAAATTTACACCCACATAAATCTCTTTTATATATATCATATATCTCTCCCCCGGCATACTTTCTATTAAATTATGTATTTAAAGAAAGATAACACCTGCATTCAAAAAAAAAAAAAAAAAAGAAAGATAACACCTCACCATTGAAGTGAAGATATCAACTCACCATATAAGATTGTAACTCATTGAAAAAGTACAAGTATGCATATGACATTATATTGCTTCAGTTTTTTCTTTCTTCTGTATGTATTTTATTCGAATGTATTCTTCTAATTGTAGTATGATACACACACTACTATTAGGAATAAGTGTAATTTAGAGGAATTTCAATTAGTAGAGATTTAACCAGCAACATCAGTTATAAAGCAAAGGAGATCAAATCAAATGATAAGCACCAAAGATTCTTTTTCAAGAAGTACTAAAACATTCCTTGTCAAGAAGTCTTTAAATAATGGAAGGATGAAATAAATAAATAAAATTAGGAATAAAGATCAAATGACCATAGAACTGCACACAATAATGCAATTAGCCCACTAAACTTAAAAAATCTACAATTGAATTCCTAAACTAACCAATTTCATATGATTTCGGCAATTTATATCCTACACCACGGCGCGCGTTGCACTATGCGCCCAGATGCAAAACGACGTCGTTTTAATTTTTTTTTTTTTTTTTTTTTGAAATTTCCCGCCCCAGTTAATGGCAGTAGTTTTTTCTTTAAAAAAAACCGTTGTTCAAGAATGTACATAATGTTATACTAGAATACACATAATTGTATACATGAATGTACATAATTATATAACAAAATATACATACTCTTTTTAAAAGATAATACACATAATATAACATAATACATAATAAACATAAACTTTTAACATAATACACATCAACTATTAACATAATACACACAATTTTCTGATTCGGATGTACATAATTGTATTAAAAGAATGTACATAATTGTATAAAAAATGTACATAACTGTATGAACAAATACACATAACTGTGTGAACAAATACACATAATTCCAGCAACTTCCTACCGCGCCTCCCAAAACGACCCCAAAACGACGTCGTTTTGGGAGGCGCGCGGCGCACAGTGCTATGTGCGCTGTGGTGTAGGGTATAACGATTGTATAATTTATCCAATTTGCAGTTTTCTAACAAGATCATTTCAATTTAAAATATTTTTTTAAAAATAAATTTTTGGAATTTAAATTTAAATTTAAATTAAAAAAAAAAAAAGAAAAAAAAAAAAGAGAAGACTTCGTCGCCCGGGGACCAAGAATATTTCTTCGTCTCCGACCATAGAAAACCGGACAAGACGGTGGATCTCAGTCCGTCGTCTACCTCGTTCATCCTCTCCTTTGACTACCCCAATAATTGCTTTCTGCAAAAAGGGGAAGAAAAGATCAACAGCGGCTGTGCCTCGAAGCTGCCGTCGAAGATTACATCATGGCGGAGAGAAAGCTTAGGGATTAGTACTTAAATTATATTTTTAATTAGTATTGAGGATTGTAATATATATGATGATAATTTTTACCTTTTTTTTCTTTTTAAATTTTAATTTTAAATAATAATTTTTTAAAATATTTTAAATTTAAGTGACCTGTTAGAAACCTATAAATTGTATGAAATTAGTTAATTTAGGGACTTAAAATCTCCACTGAAGATTCAATCCGGGTATTATCTGTGCAATTGGATGACCTATTTGATCTTTATTCCATAAAATTATGGTGGTAAAATTTATAATAATTTTTCATTTGGCATACCAAATTAAATAACACTACAAACAATAATATAACTTTATTGTAACATTAAGATAAATTATAAAATTTGACCTAGATAAACTAAATAATCATGAAGCTAACTCCATCATATCCTTGAAAATTGAAATAAATAAAATAAAAAATTCTTCATTCCAAAAAATTAACAATCTCATCCTCCACATGCACAGCACCTCTGTAAAAATCTGGATAATTACAAACTGCATGTATCTCAAATCTTCTCCAAACATCTCTTCCAAATGAATAAACTAAAATCAAAGGAGACGTCATACAGTTACGTTGAATCAAGAACACAATCTCCCCCATACTATTCGTTGTAAACTCCATGAAAGTAGCTTCTCCCATCACCTTCTTCTCCTCCAATGGAAGAATGACTGTCTGCTTCTCCCACTCCATTGACCTCTCCAACGTACATATATCTATCTTGTCGGGCCAGGGTGTGAAGGTTCCAGAAGCCTTTTGTGGGCCGAGGATGTTAATGAAAGCTAGGCCACCATTCAATTTCATCCATGGCTGCCCACCCTTAAGATAAGGGGAGGGATACTCAAATGGGAACGGTATGGATGTGATAAAACTCTCCGTCGCAACATCCATTGCAATTATCTTTGATTCTTCAGTAGTGAAGAAATCAAATAGATTAGTGAGCGGTTGAGAGAATTGGCGTGGAATCAAATAGATAATCCCATGAATGTGGACGGCACCCTGGGTGGATACAGTGAAAGGGAAGTAGTCTATCTCCCTCCATGTCTTATCCACTCCCACCGTTAAAACATACAGCCGATTCAACATCCACCCCTGATCAGAATCACAGTACACTACCGACCTGAAAACCTTGTACCTCTCCAAAACCGAGTCAAACCCCAACACCGAATAGGAGCAGACACCCAAGTTGAAAGACGACGCCGCATAGCCGACCGGCCAACCGATGCTCGGCAGACAAATACGCCGTCCGGTACTAAGGTCGTAGACGGCTTCGCCTCCCGATTCTCGGCAGAGACACGTCTTGCCATCGATGGAACATACTAAACCTTGTACGTCCAAACGCTGGGCAGTGTCGGCTCGGAGGTTTCCATGGCTGTCTTCACTGTAACTCACGGAGTATAAATTTAATGCGCGGGGTGTTTTGGATGGGAGAGAGACGAGGATTCTGAATGCGAAGCGTGGCTCCGGTATGAGATCATGGAAGAATTTGGAGGTGCATCTGAATCCCACTGCGGATTTGGGAGGAAGACCGGTGAGAATTTCGAGAAGAATATCTAGTGGAAGAGAGGTTATGGAAGTAGAAGAAATTGAAGGGCTATCCATCCGTCTTTTGAAGTTTGATCTTCTGCAAATCCAATCAAAGAATGGAGATTTCAGATTTATGGGTCGACGATTTTGATGTTTATATAGACTTATTAGGTGCGATACAGAAGTTCTTTTTTTTGTAGGGGTGTGATACAGAAGTTGATATCAAGTAAAACACACAAAGTCATTGTCTCAAATCTCAATACATATAAAACAATGTTATTAAAAAGAAATATAATCAATGCAATAACAATAAGTCAAAAGCCGCAATCTAATGGAATTCAAAAAATAATAAGTCAAAAGCCGCAATCTAACGGGATTGAAATTAGTCTCCCAAGTAAATGTAAGAATGTAAAATTACATAATAATTAATAAATGGTTATTTTCTTATAAAAATACAGTATTACGTATAATTTTTAAAAAATATTACCAATTAATAGATATTACTTAATTTTCATATAATATTTTATTACCAATTAAGTTTTATTAATTCTTTTATCAATAAATTAATTAATTGATATTAAGAAAAAGTTTGAATGGTAAAGTTGATGATGAGGATTTTATTTTTATTAATAGTAGAGATTGGTGTAAAATTGGTATTCAAATTTTTATTATTGGTGTAAATATTAATTAATAAATCATTATTTCCTTATAAAATTACTTAATAATTAATAAATTATTTTCTTATAAAATTATGTTATTACGCAGAATTTTCATAGAATATTACCAATTAATAGATATTAGTTAATTTTTATATAACATTTTGTTACCAATTAAGCTTTATTAATTCTTTTATGTTATAAATATATATTTAGTGTGGCCATTATTAGTATTGATTATGTAACGGTTAGGTGATTAGTGGCTGCATTATGTCTTCCGTTACATTTGTATATTATATATAGATATGTTGTGATTGTGTGGGAGATACAAGAGATGAATGAATAAGAGATCCTCCTGCCTTGTCTATCACTTGCTCTCTTTGTATCTTAGTTTCTTTTTTCAGCAATTCCTTTGACCAATCTGTAAGTATTTTCCCTAAATACAATATATTATAATATATTGTATTATTGGGTGGCTGTGGTGCAAGTAGGAGATTGAGTCAATTAGTGACTTAATCTGTTATGCAACTCAGGATATTCAGTTAAGCTTTAACTGAATATCTGCCTATGGCATGTAGGCTTCTAAGCAAAATAGTCCTCCCACAGCTCCCGTGTTTAGGACACGCACCATCACGTATTCGGGAGAGAAGTGGTAGACAAAACATACACTAACCTTTATTCGGCAGGTTTACTATCTCGTGGCAATACCAACGACTATGGCTGGGGATATTCGGGCGATCCTAAAGCTTCCGCTACTACGAGACAGGTTACTCGTTACTACAGTTCATGTTAGACTAAATTTATTATCTAACATTTGGCATCAGAGCCTTAAAAATCTCTGTCTGATTGTTTGTATTGTTGAATACAAAATCTGTTTTGTTTCTCCAAAAACTAATATCATATACATTAATTTTAGTATATGTTGTTCTTCGAAATATTGTATCTTGATCTCAATTTATTGTTGTTGCTATTTTGTTGCCGTTTTTTGGAATCCACCGCAATCGAATTTTGGACGGAGGAATACGGCTCGAAGGTAACAACTTGCAGAGCAGCCTGGTGACATAGGAGTTCGTTGGAAATCCATCATCGTTTTTCCAGTAGTTGCTGCTGCTTCTTCATCGGGCTGCAGTGGAGAAAGGGAAGAACCATTCATCCTCTCCGTCTTCCCTTCCGGCGAGCCTTCGATATGGCGCTGGTTGGTTATTTGGACTAACTATAGTAAGTTGGACTAACTAATTATTTTATTACGAAGCTTACTTGGTTATTTGGACTAACTATAGTAAGTTGCGTGGTATGATATACCTCTTATGGATTCCAATAATAAAATATATCTTCTGAGCCGAATTCCAACTTGGTTTTGGAAGGCGTATTTTATTATTTTAGTATGTCCAACTATGGTGGAGAATCATGTCCTCATTAATTATTCATTTAGTTGGACTATAATTAGAACCAAATATTGATTATTTAGTATGCCCAACTAATGGTGGAGAATTATATCTTCATTATTTAGTTGGTCAAATCAATTATGAGTGTTATATCATTAATTTGGCTAAAGAATATCTTAATCAGTGGGAGTGATCATTTAGGAAAGATCATTAAGATACTCCACTAAAGCTGATGGATTTAGTTGTTTTCATACATTCCAAATTGGATTGTGCGTCTAGCAATAAGTCCAAAAGTTTCCACAAGTATTAATTTAGTCTTTTGTTCTTATAATTCATAAGTTCATTTCATTGAACGTTTGGTTGTACAACATATTTATGAAAATGTTGTAACAATATTAATGAATTTATTAGAACGAAAACATTTAACTTGTGGTGCACTGCCAATTAATAAATTCTTTAGCAAATTAACAGTCTTTAGTTTCTTCAAAATTGATCCTGGGCCATTTTTGGTTTGTAAGGCCCAAAACAATTTTGTAAGACATAATTTGACTCGTAATGTTCAATTAATTTCGAGGTGGACCTTGAGATTATTTGGGAAGTTGGTGTATGTTTAAGATTCCAAATTATTGACTTAGACCTTATGGTTTATATCATTGGAATGTTTCTGTGACTTGACTATCTTTTGGGCTATCTTAATGAGTGGGAGTGACAGACATGTCAACTCCAAGCTCTTAGCCGTTAGAGGTAGTGTTTATGTTAACTTATAAACAAGTCATAGAATATAGTTAGCATTATGCTAACATTAAGAGATCTCTACTTAAGGCATGCTTCTAAGATTTTGGAGATCATACAGTGAATTTAGATGGTTTCTTCCTTCAGTTGTGCACATAATATATTTTGAGAAACATCCATTAAGGGACTAAGAATAAACGTCGGGTTTGTTCATAAAGAACCTAAGTTAGAGAATTTAAATGCATGTGATCATAGTAGATATTACTCACTTGATTAGTAGATGACGTATTACTATGGTTCTTGTATTTTGTTCTTTAATGAAGGTTGTGCCAGTACTTGTACCAAGTGAGAGAATGTAAGTATTTTCCCTAAATACAATATATTATAATATATTGTATTATTGGGTGGCTGTGGTGCAAGTAGGAGATTGAGTCAATTAGTGACTTAATCTGTTATGCAACTCAGGATATTCAGTTAAGCTTTAATTGAATATCTGCCTATGTTGATGGCATGTAGGCTTCTAAGCAAAATAGTCCTCCCACAGCTCCCGTATTCAGGACACGCACCATCACGTATTCGGGGGAGAAGTGGTAGACAAAACGTACACTAACCTTTATTCGGCAGGTTTACCATCTCGTGGCAATACCAACGACTATGGCTGGGGATATTCGGGCGATCCTAAAGCTTCCGCTACTACGAGACAGGTTACTCGTTACTACAGTTCATGTTAGACTAAATTTATTATCTAACACAATCATGCTTGAGCTAATGGGTTACAACACATTATCAGCGAATACTCTACTTCATCCTGAAAGGAATTTGATCTTCATCTTGTTTGCAGCGATTTCCTCCAAGTCGTTCGAGGGAAAGGATTATGGTTAATACCATTCCGAGTCAACGGCATATTCAAAGCCATAGATCTAGAAGCAACACCGGGTGCAGGGGTGATAGGTGTCTCCGGCGTCAAGGCCAATCTGTGGCTCCACGGTGGTTGCAGAGTCACTATTTCAAACCTCTCTGATCTCGATCAACCAAACAAGATTGCTCCTCCCAAATCCTCAGCGATTTCCCAGGATATTTTTAAGCGATCCCCCAAAACTCTCCTCCGTTTTCCTCAATGTTGCGAATGTATTTTTAATTTTGAACTGAATTGCAGTGCCCAACGCAACGACAAACGGAGAATCATCGATCGAACACGAGTGTCGAATGACTAGTCGAAAAGGCGATGGGACTGTGAGCCTGTGGTAGATCGACGAACTAAGCTAAGTATTCTTCCTCCAAAGAGAATTTTTTCTACATGAATATATTTATGTGATAGATTCTCATTTTGTGTGATTAGCCATATTTTCTTGAAAAACTGCTTATATTACATGCTTAAACATATTCAGAATCGTAATTACGTATTACAGATTTTCTATATATTATATTCTTGAATATGGAGACTTTTGCTTCCTTTGCTTCTTTAGCTTGCGTTTAATTATAGAGAACTAAAGAAGTATATAATGATTGTTTTCAGTACATGATTAAATGGATCTGCATAGGGTGAGGCTGGAAACATTTGAAGCAAGTGGTTTGTTTAAACTAAAAGAAGTATACAGTCCTGTTCTGTGAACTTGTTGTTTTAGAAAACCATGACCCTTTGCCTTGTTGCACCATCTTTGTCTGCTAGTCATGAAACAAGGTGTTTTATACATCACAATTTTATTAAGGTGGATCTGAGTGTTTTGGAGTTGCTCCATATGTACATTTGGAGGATTTAATAAGTAGTTAATATATAATTTGATGCGCAATCCAAGCTGAGTGCTTATTTCTCTTTGATTTCAACCTTTAAAAAACATTTACTGTAAATGTTGATTGCTTTGGAGTCATCGAATTGAATGTGGCAGGGAGAGAGGATGAAAATTATTCTCTGGAAAAGGTCCCTAGCCGATAACGCACGCGGATGAACAATGTGGCCACTGTGGTGATCGGACACGCTCCGACGCAACGTCACTGCTGATGTTGCTTTTGCCGAAGAACATGTGGAGAGCTTGAGACAGCGAATCATACTACAATTGTCAAGCTTCAGTTCATGTTCTTAATGAATCCAATGGTGGACCAAATTTTCTTTCAAGCTCAATTGCATTGTGTCGTTGAGCATTGTCTTCTTGTTTGAGTCTCCACATGGATGTACACCAAATACAAATGCAAGCCGCATTGAGAAGGCAATGAAATAGGCAAGGCCAAACATATGTTCGTTATTATTTTCGGTGAACGGTACATTTATCATATTCTTCCCTATTTTAGTATTAATGAAATATAT